AATTCATCCACTCATCTACTCATCCATTCATCCATTGTTTCATTTAATTATTCATTGCAACTACAAATCTATCTATCTATCTATCTATCTATCTATCTACGTATCATTCATAGCAGAAGGAATAAGCAGCAGCGATGCATTCATTGCAAAGCACGTAGTATCTCTCTATAGTTTGTTGATTTTCGTTCGGCTGAAAACAAGCAGCGAAGAGGGCAAAGAGAGGGCAGACAATGACTAAATGATAATATTAATAGCAAGCATAACAACAATATCTATTATTACCATTACAAACGAACGAATCATTATTATCTTTGTTTAAAATAGCACTGATAATAACAACAACGACAATGCAATGGTATTACCAATTGTACAAGTAAGCAAGCGACTAGCGACAACAATTCTTTGCAGCGACCAAATTTACGAATCAATATATTTATATATTACCAAAGGACGAGTGACGACGGCGAGAGAGAATGAATGAAAGACACGACCTACCCTAATGCGCTCGGGACAACTGCTGCGATTCGTATTGATGGCAGCTGTCGCACGACACAACGATCAACCTTTGTTAGACTACTGCCACTGCCACTGCTATTCCACTGCTATTTCTAGTGCTATTTCCACTGCTATCTATTGCTATTACTACTGCTAGTGCTATTGCTATCGCTGTTGCTGCTTCTCCCTGTACTTTGCATTGTTATTATTTACATCGCCAAGCAGTACTGAAATTTTGATTCATTTCGCTATAATTAGTGTGCATTTAAATGATTTACCTTTGACCTATTATTTGTAAGATTAAAAAATATACTGTAGTCAAGTATTAGAAGTATCATTGCTAATATTTAAATTGTTGCCTGTATTGAAGAAGATGACTGCTAGTTTTGTAATTACATTTAACAAAAGTTTGAAATAACAAATAATGTATACACCTGATATATATTTTACACTGAAGCCTTTGACAAATATTAGAAGTGAAAGTTCTTGAAAATGTGTTATTTAACTGATTACACTTCTCGCTCTTTAACTGATGCTCTTTTTGTGTTCCCTTCAGTTTCCATCATTATTCATTTATTACATTTGGAAGTCACGACGGCAAAGACAAATGAAACAAATATAGGATTTCAAAAATCAAATTTCCTTGCAGTACTATTCTTCATTTCCTGAGGAGCAGTTTGTAAAGTCGTTAACTGATTAAAAGTTCAACACTTTTCGATGCTTATAAAAATCATTTGTTTGGGAGCAAAAATTATCAGTCACTGTTTGATTCAAAGCTCATGTGAGCTAGAACTTCGCCACGGTAAACTTTTATCCACCTAAATTTTACAACGTGTATAATTATTATGATTTCATCTTCACATGGTCAAGTCACAGTTTCAATATATCACAGTAACCGAAGAAACAATTCAACTCCAAGAAAAAATATTCCATAACAAAATATCGAAAAATCATTCCCAGACTTAATTATCACCAAGAGCGACGTTTTTATTTGATTCGAGTAGTAACTGATAATGTCGTTGTGTCCATCACAAAAGAAAATTGACTTTGCATTCGCAAATAGAATCTGTAAAATTAATGAAAATTTTTTGAAAAGATAGATAATTTTGTGAAAAGTAAATTACATAATGAATTTTTGTGAAGAGTACCTAATAATGACTGTTCTGTAATGTATGTTGTAGCTGTATTGTTGTTTTTTTTGAGTTCCATAATTACATCCCATTCAGACATAGGTGCAACTGATATTACCGCTCGACTTGGTGAATTAGTTATCTGAAGTGTCAAAATTTCTTTTACATGTGAGTAGAATTGGTTAGTTCTGAAAAGCGAATAATTAAACCAACTTTTCCATGGCAACATTTTATAAAATGAAGAAGATGCTTCGCCTCCGGTTGACATTTTGCAGAAACATAAAATGGTCCTAAGGATGAAAACAATCGAACCATATGACCTTTCAGCCATGATTTGTGAGCCTTTCTCCATCGTGGAACGAGGAAGTCGCTTCCTTTCAACCAACCACCCATTTCTAGGGAACGGTAGGCCTTCAAAACAAAAATTAAGTCTGCTTTGGCCATGTTTTTGGTTGAAAAGAATACAAAAACTATCCAAACAAAATTAAATTATAAATGAACTACAGTCACGCAACTATGTGTTCTTTCATCTATCCCTTATACAATAAATTTGCTAAATTGTCATTTGTCATCCTTAACTGCTATTAAGTATGACAAACGTATCAATCAAATGTGCACACATAGCATTTATTCTCATAAATTCGTGTTAATTTATGCTTTTTAAAGAGACATTTTGAGAAGTTATTTCGACCAGATTAACGTGTTTAGCTCTTGTCAAAAGATACCCATTCAATTGTAACAATTGGTATGCCCTTGACGACAGCTCGCATGACACTAATAGTACGTGCTCCTTCTTCATCACTCACGACATAACGTGTGCAACTGTCAACATCATTTGCAATTTTTAGTACACCTAACTTTTTAGTTATTGCAAAAACCGTTTCTTTCTCTCTAAAAAAACGTATTATGCAAATCGCACCAAATAATTCATAGAAAATGAACTTAATATATTAAAAAATTTCACAAGTATAATGTTCATACATCTTGCTGATTCCTGAAAGTACGATATTGCTGATCATATGCTTCTTCTTTGCCATTTTGCCCTTTTTTACAAATTCGCTAGAACTTGGAATGTTTTGTAAAGCATTCAGAACCGAAGATCGAGTCCGTACAACTATAGGCCGTGCTTTCCCTATGAAAATAGCGAGTAGAAAACTTTGATTAAATGCCATAATCATAAAAGACAACAAAACTTTTACATTCGTTGAGAGAAATCAAGAAGTGACTCATTTAAGGATACGATGTATGTTTCAAAGACTTGAAAGTATAGTCACGGCAAAAATTAGATGAACAAACCTCTTGCAGTTGATTGCTTTGGATAATCAACATTTTTCTTATTACAGTTCATATCAAGCATTTTCCTATACAGACCAACCATTCTGTCTGCATTTAAGTGTGAAGACTGCATTGCTCTTACAGAGCCATATCGCCTTAGAAGATGCTATAATTTATGACTTTTCTACCATCAACGGTTATTTAAAGAGGCATAGCACCAAAACAAAGTAATTTTTTAACAAATTATTTGCTATCTTTTGCTCTGGCTTCTTCATATTACCATTGCTGAAAATTCTATGCAACAAAAACCATGACAAAATTTTTTAATCTCATGCTGAAATAACTTTTTGTTTTTTAAAAATGTCAAGATAATTTCTTCAGTTATTTATGAAAGCTTAAAATTTTAGCAGTCAAGAAAGACGCACTTTATGGAAGCGAATCGGATTGTATTCAGCCAGCTGCTCAAAATCAATTTCAGATCGGTCACGTCTTTTTGATGGCTCAGTTTTCGCGCCCTCCATCTTAACTTGTGTACATTAAGAGAATGATAGATGCAAAAATAATATATATGTTAATATGTGAATGCAAATCTTACACAAATAATTCGAAGCAATTGCTTGAAATTCAAACTAACAATTTTTACAGAGGAGTTTTTTGAAATAGGAGTTAAGTTTAGCTGTAAAGACTGATCTGGAAATACAGTTATTCCTGATATCGTGTGCCTTCTATTCGCTCGAAGAATGCCTGATAATAAAAACCAAATTCAGAAATTTATTATTTTTTGAACAAGCATTTATCACTAATATATACCACTAATACTGAAGTTACACTGAACTAACAAATAATACAGAAATCGTATATATGAAAATAGAATTTATGTAAAAAGATTTTGTACATACTTTATGCTCACTTTTTTTGAAATGATTGTATCAATTTATGTAAATTTAATGAATGAAACCCATAAACCCTTACTTTCTGACTGAGCGGTTATTTGATACGCAGAGAACCGAGAATTGCGTATTCGACTACATCTACTACCACCTACATTTTTAAATGAAGGAGAATTAGCATTCTGGTTGACAACAGAAACAGCACTAGGTGTTTTTCGAAATTCATTAGATGAGGACGTTGTAAATGAAGAATAATTTGCTGAATAATCTGAAATTTGCTGAATGATCTAATTAAACGCTTCGAAATATATCATTTATTTTTGAAGAAAAAAAAATTCATTATAAAACCTTTCCATAGTTTTAATGCCTTAATTTTTTATTAAATCACAACATCTGCTTACTCATTTCATTTAGTCTTCGTTTTACACGATCTACTATTGGTGAAATTATTTCCACAGGATCTATGCTTTGGTTACTTACGGGAGATGCTGCAATAACTTCAGTTTTGAATTATAAAAACAATGAAAATTAAATTAAAGCTCTTCAATATTAACTTGTAGACAGCACTGTTCTCAAGTTCTTAAAATCTTGCGGTCACAAACTTTATTGAAACCTTCTTCTGCATCTTTCATTAATGAAAGCACTGTTCTTTATAACTTTTAATGTTACATGAATTCATATTAAATTAAGATCATCTAATATTTTTTCATTACAGACTTGTAATAACTTGAAAATTTGACTACTGCAGCAAATTACGACTCAATCGAAGTTAAAGTCTTGGCATACTTTTTAAGCACAGGATTTGAATTTCGAAAGTGAAGATGACTATGAGATTGAAGTTATAGATCTCATGGTGATGATAATTTATAGACGTATAAGGAATACTGAATGATGAGTTATATGAAACAAAATTTATATATGAGTCAAAAATTGTACAGTAAAATACAGTTGGGAAACTGATATCACTTCAAATGTAACTTGCAAAAAATATAATATACTTAGTTTTGAGGTGAGCTGATCAGAAAGCATCTCAATGGCATGCAATAGCTGTGATTGGCTTGGTGAGCTGCTACTTCTGCATGAAATTGATTGCTGCAAGTTTTAAAATACTATGAAGAAGAATTGTTTGTATATTAAAATTTCTCAAAAATTAGTTTTCAAATTAACATGTTGCTTTTTTGATAAATATGTTAGTTTGAAACTGAGTTTTTGAGAAAACCATGAATTAACAAATGAATCAATATTAGTACCGAATTTTCAAGATTAAGATAAACATATATTGTAAATAATGATTACCTTTTTAACAATCCCTGTTCGTCCCATGGCCATAAATCTTATCGGAATAGCCAAATTATTTATGCCATAAAGTAAATATGGATTTTCATCAGCCCGTGTTTTATTCATGAAACACCTACAATTTCTTAAGCAAGGAAAAAATTTTGGGTGAAAATGTCATGTACTGAATTACAGAAAGCAAAGTTATGAAAAAACGATATTAAAAGAATATGAAAAGAAAAAAGATAAACGACTTACTTAAGAACCCAGTGGGGGGAGATTATATAAACTTTGGCTTCTAAAAGGTGGACTTTATCCAGTGTTTCTTGTCGACCATTCCAGAATATGAGATGTGTCATATTTTTAGGAAATCTGGAAATAAATAAAATAAATGCATACAAGCACTATTAAAAACTGTCTTCATAACAACTTATTTCTGTATAAATTTTCTATCTTTTAACTACAACTGAGGAATTCAATTTTTCAAATGAAAAACGCCACTTGAAACATTTAATTTTAGATTTTCACATATATA